CTCTGCCCTACCTCACCCCCTTGCTGTCTGGGTCTCTTGTCTATCTCTCTCTTCCTTGGTTTTGGAGCCCCACCCAAAGATCCCTAGGAGATTCTGGGGGCAGTTGCCAGGCCCCTAGCCATCACTGCTGGGATGGGGGGGTTCTTCAGCATTTGGGGGTTTGGGGTGAACAGGCAAGGACATTCCTCAAAGCCCCAGCTGGCAAAAACAATCCATGTATCACTGCCTTCCCTGACCTTCCTGTGTCTCACACCTCCATGGGCCTGGGAGCCCAACCTCTGCCCTGGCACATTAGGGGGGGACCCACTGTCCTACCCTCTGGGAGGGAGGGATTGACATTTTAAAAAGAGAAGATGCTGGTTGAGTTTTTTTTTTTTTTTTTTTACAATGAACACTATTATTTCTGTAAAACACAAAAAAGTATTTATCTCTGAAAACAGTATCAGCGCTGAAGGAGGGCAGCTTTTATGGTGAGAAGAGCATTTCCTGGGGGTGATGGAAGGTTTGTGGGTCAAGGCCAGGTGTGATGAAATCTTCCCGGGGTGACGGCAGGAGAGGTGCTGAGGGCAGAATGAGGCTCCTCAAATTCAGTGTTTGGACCCCTCTAAATTGCTACCTTCAGTCACCCAGTCACCTTCATCACTGGTTCATTTCAAGCCTGGCTGCTGGAGGACAGTGTCTGCGGATGCCACAGGGAACAGGACCGTCTAGGCCAAGGGTTGCCCATCATGAGGATGGAGTTCACCGCTGGACAGTAGAGCAGGGAACCCAGTTGGCTGGGCTGGGGTGGCACGTGCAGGAGGTGGGGGAGCCTGCCAGTCCTACTAGCTGGTCTTTGGGCACCTCTCTGGTGCCCAATTGTCTCCAGTTTGACTTGTGTTCTCTGGGGCAGGCAGCTCCCACCTTGACTCTGGCCTTAGACTAGAAGGCTTAAAGGAGGAGGCAAGGGAGTTCTCAACACCTGCCACGTATTAAATCACTCAGCCAGCTTGGAAGAAGTTACTAGTGCTCAGCGGCAGACAAAGGGCTTCAAATCTGGTTAACAGTGGGTTTTAAAAGGCTTCCAGGAAACCACTAAATTGGGCCAAGAGTACGGAAAGCAGGCACTGCTGGATGAAAGGCAGAAGCAAGTGGTAAGTGGTGATGTAGTGAATGGGAAATAGTAGTTTTAGCCAGGACTCTGGGGGGAGGGTGGGGAGGAGGAAGCCAGCAGTGGTGGGACCTGGAAGGTGGGGGCAATTTGGGGGTGGGAGGGTCAGAGGAGGTAAATAGGCCTGGCCAGGACCCACCCCCCAGGTGTTTAACCAGATCTGAAAAGCTCCCTCAACCCACAGGACTCAGGATTCTCCTGGGGACAGACACCCAGGGGTGGGGCCAGGCCAGAGGTCAAGCCAACAGCCAGCTCAGCTTGGGAATGGGTGTCCCCAGGTTCCGGGACAGAGCTGGGACTCCCAATTTGGTGCCCTTCTCTTCCCATCTGCTTTCCTCCAGATCCTCCCCAGGGCTTTCTGGACGCCATCCTCCTCCTCCCAGGCAATTCTTTGTGAATCTTCCTTCCTTCCTTCCTCAGGTGATTTTGCCTCCTTTCCTGGCCACCCTTTCCCTGTGCTGTCTTCCCTTCTGGCCCCTAGGACCTCCTTGGCAGTCTCCCTCCGTCCCCTCTCCCCAGCTTCTCTCTCTCTCTCCTCCTTTTCCTGGTTCATACCCTATATCCCCTCTTCTCACCGTTCTCTCCCCATGGAGCAGGAGTGCCCTCTTTTACTGGTCTATCTTCACCCCCTTTTACTTGTCTTTCTTCGGAAATAACCATCCAATCCAGCTGTGCTATTTGAACTAAGGAAGGGATGCTACAGATGCAACAGAATCATGTAAAAAATGCCCTTCTTTCTTAGCAAAATCCACTCACTCCTGCCACGTTCTGATGTTATGTATATCATCACTAAATTGACTTATTTTCTAGCAAGGGCTATGTGGTTAACTGCCTGAGGTTGTGCTGGACTCATACTATCATGAAATAGTCACAGCAATCCTTAGGGCAGGACTCGGTTGCCCCATTTTGCAGGAAAAAAACACAGACCAAAGTCATAAAGCTAATGTGTATGGATTCAAACCCAGGTGCGCATCCTTGGACCCTGCCAAGGCAAAAATCTCTTCCTCTCCCTCTCCCTTCACTCAGAGAACTGGGCTCCCTGTCAAATGAAGGTATTGAACATCTGGCCTGGTGCTGCATGGCAGTTCCTGGCACAGCAGCCTGAGTGGGACTTTTGGGTTGAGACACACGGGGTGGGGGGAGAGGGTGGGTGGCGGAGCAGCTGGTGGCACACTCCCAAGGGAGCTGTGGCCTCTGTGGAGACTGAAGGAAACTGGGTCTATGAGGACCTAGATGATCACAGAGCAGAACCTGCGTTGACAGTGGCTGGGCAATGGCCTCACCTCCTAGAACTATGTATGTCTTGTTTTTACTGTGTTGGTAACAGATTTGCTGAAATATAATTCACACATCATGAACCTCACTCATCTACAGTGTACAATTCAATGGTTTTTAATATACTCACAAGCAAACTAAAATATATAGCACATGAACCGATACCATCACCACAGTACATACTAGCACTACACTGTCAGGTCAGCATCCTTAAGAGGACACCTCAGCTGCAGGGTGGAGTCCGGGGAGGGGTGCTGGAGGAATGCCACTCACTGAACGAACTGCTAAAGGAGGACAGTAAATCTGCTGGTTTCCCCAACCTCCTGTTTCTCAAAAGTGGACGGGGCAGACATTGACCTCAGAGAAGACACTGATCTGTGAGGCCTGGAGTCCAATGCCGCTTTCAGTCGTCCAACTCTGGGCCCTGAGCTTTTTGTGTTTACAGTGCCTTGCATGCCTTTGCCCTAAGCCAGAGTCTCCCCTCCCAGTCCCAGATCCCCAGCCGGCCCAGTGGCCTTTCCCAAGGTCCAGAGAAAGGCGGCTCAGGGGTGTGGCCGGGCAGGAATAGCAACAGGATCCCAAGAAGGATCCATCCCGAGTCTAGAGGCCAGGAAGCAGGGGGACCCCGTGGCTCCCTGACTCTTCCCACACAGCGCTCCTTGGGGAGCAGTCTAGAGGCCAGCACCGAAGACTTGCATATCCTTTGATACCTGTTAAATCTGTGGGGTGTCACAATTCAAACGAATGGAGTAAATAGCTTTAAATTTCGTTGTTAGAATACATTTGAAGAGGCGTTTGTTTCCATGTTTCCATCAAAGGCTACTGCTCCACTTTCCTCCCTGACTGTGCCCCAGAGAGCTTCCCGCAGAGACTTCCCATATATACGTGGCTCCTTTTTGCCTTTGTGGCACAGCTGCAACACTGCACACTCAAGGTCACCCAACCACCCCGTCCCTATTCCCCAGTGCCAGGGAAACTGCCAGTCTTAGGTGCTGTTGCCTCAAGAAGTGATCATTTGAGATCAGCGTCACCCAAAGGCGGGTTGTGGGCTGAGCTCATGAAGGGAAGCCGGGCGGGGGGGGGGGGGGGAAGCCTGGTTACTGGCACCCCTTATGCAGCTGCTCTGCCTCTGGGGTTTCCCCTACCGCACTGGCTGAGACTTCCTTGCTTTCTAGGTCAGGTTGGTCCAGATTCTAGCGCCTGGGGCCTCTCCAGGGTGTGGGGTGTGGCCCCTGGCCAGCTGAGAAAGATAGGAGGTTACCCAGATACAAGGGCGGGGAGAGCCTGGAGGAATTCTCCATCTCCTGACCCTGAAAAAGGACTTCTGAAATGGAAGAGCGAGAAGCTGCGAGGCAGCGGTGTTGGGTGACTTGTCAGCCTAGGTGGTAATGCTGGAAACGCCCTGACCACCTGCCAAAGCACCCTGGAGATCCTTGCTCAGGGAGCCTATCCCCTCACCCCATGCCCATGTCGCCAGAAATCTGTATCTACTGGGAAGGATTCTCCAGGAGCCTATGCACACAGGTTGGAACATTCCTCACCCAATAACTATTTATGGACCTACTACTATATGCCAGGCATGGTGCCAGGCACGGGGGGGAAGGGGGGCAGTTGTGAACTAAATAGACCTAAGTCAGTGGTAGAGTCTAAATCTCAGGAGCAGTTAACCTGCTCTTGGACCATGAAACCTGAGGTGGGGTTAAGGCAGGGGACTCTGAGGTCGATCTCTCAGGGCCACTCCACCTCGAGACTCACAGGTGCCAGTTGGTGACTAACTGGCTAGAAAACCTCTGAAAATAACTCCCATAAAAGCGGTGCTTTTGGTCCTGGCCAGGTAGCTCGGTTGGCCAGACCTGGTGCTGACACACCAAGGCTGCAGGTCTCATCCTGGGCAGGGCACATACAGAAATCAACCAGTGAGTGCATAATCAGCAGAACAGCAAACCGACAGCTCTCTCACCCTCTTCCTCTCTAAAATCTATCAATACGTAAAAATGAAAAGCAGCGCTTTTGCACAGCCTTAGGGGCCCTGTCATAAAGAAGGGTAAACACAGTACCTCATGTTCAGTTAGCTGACAAAACAAAACAAAAATACCAACAAAAACCCTAAACAAATATGCAAACCCAAACAAATATGCGTGTGTGTGTGTGTGTGTGTGTGTGTGTGATCTAGTTTGTAAGTGCAGATGGTGTGCACTAATTTCATTTACTTTTAAAACTATTTTAATTTTTTTTTAAAAAGGAAAGCATTTAGGGGAGGGGACGCTGAACAACACAAAGGAGTAGAGTATACGGTGTCTGTTCAGACCCTCAGTCCCATCCTCAGGAGCCCCAGGGTCTTGCCCCATCCATTTACACCTCCCTCCCCCCTTTAAAGCAGGAGTGAAGTCACACCGCCCTCTGTGCTCCGTCCCACCTGTTTTGCCTTCGCCAGCGCCTTGGGCTTTGGCTTCCCCCTTCCGCGCCCTCATTGCACTGCCAGCTCCCGCGCAGCGTCACCAGCTTAGTATGTTACCCAAGATTTTGTTCTTTGTAAGGGAACACAAGAGAAAGCAAGAAAGGAAAGACTGTTTGCCACACGGGGCTGTTTGTTTGGGTCCGAGGGCGTGTGAGCGTGGGATGGGGTGATGCCGGGGGTCCCGGCCTGCGAGCCAGAGGCCCGAAGCGGAGAGCGGCGGGCGGCGGGGCGGCGGGAATTAGCGCGCCAGCCCGCGGCCAGGGATCCCTTCTGGCGAGAGTTCGAGGCGGGATTATCACGTTCAAAAGCAGGTCAGGGGGGTCTAAACCGGGAGGCAAAGCCCGCGGGGCGAGGTCAAGGTCCTGGGTGGAGGCGGGTTGGGGCTGGGCTCGGAAACGGCGGCGGCGGCGGGGGTGGGGTGGGGTGGGGGGTTGCGGGGAGGGTGCTTGCGGCCGCAGAGGCTACCCCCGGAACCCCAGCTCCCAGCGCCGGGAGGGGCTGCGCAGGCCCCGCAGCGAAGGCCGCGTGCCCCGGCGGCGGGACGGGACGGGACGGGACGCAGCCAGTCCGGGCCGCGGCCGCGGGGAGCGAAGGGCGAGAGGAACCCGGAGGCCAGTCCAGACAATTTCAGTGAACGAAGAGCAAACGTGTCTGCGCTCCGGAGACCCGCGCGTGTATCTGCAGAACAGGGTTTACCGACTTTTCTTTGAGATTTCAGTCCCATTTCCTTTTTTTAAAAAAATACGTTTTATTGATTTTTACAGAGAGGAAGGGAGAGGGATAGAGAGTCAGAAACATCGATCAGCTGCCTCCTGCACACCCCTTACTGGGGATGTGCCCGCAACCAAGGTACATGCCCTTGACCGGAATCGAACCCGGGACCCTTCAGTCCGCAGGCCGACGCTCCATCCACTGAGCCAAACCGCTCAGGGCCCCATTTCCTTTTCTTAAATAAACATTTGAGTTTGTTTCTGACGAGGTAGAGCATTTCTTAGGCAAACTCATAGCTCAACGGACTGCACCGAACAGGGCAAGGCCTCTCTCGCCGAGAGCGTCCCCCTTCCCGCGGCCTCCGCGGCGGAGCAGTCGCGGGGTGTCACCGCTGAATATAATCGCGACCACACCGCACGCTTCCGAGCCTGCGCGTGAGCCGAGGAGCGCGGGGGGCTCTCAGCGACTCGGCGCTTCCCCACAGGAGCGAGTTGGGGTGCGTGTGTCACCGTGAGCCCCACTCCATGATTTTCTTTTGAGGGAGAATGCCGTCGCCTGTCCGCCTCCCCCGGCCGCCAGCCGCGCTCCGGGAGAACACACCGGGGCAGCCCGCGGAGTGCGAGGTGGCGCTGCCGTCGGGAGTCCTGCCCTTGGGGGTGCCCCCGCCCCGCCCCCCCCCCCCCCCGCATAAACGGACGGCGGGGAGACGCAGACCGCGCTCAGCGGCACCGGGTGGAGGGCCCGCCGGGTGTCCCCGCCGCGGGCGTTCCTGCCCCGGGACCTGCGTCGCCCTCCCAGCCCCGGCCGTTCGCCTTCCCTCCCCGCGGGCGACGCTGCGGCCGCTGGAGAGACGGGCGGGGACGCTCCGGCGCGTCTGCACCTCCACGGAGGCCGGCCCCTCCCGCGCGGGTCCTGCAGACACTCCGCGGGGCCGAGTGGGCAAATCCTGGGGTGACGGTGGTGGTGCGGAAGGGGTGGGGGGGGGTGGGGAGGAGAGGGGGTGTGAAGACAGCCGACCCGGGAGGAGAGAGGGAGGGGCCGGCGAAGGGGAAGAAGCCGCGACAGCTGGGGCTCAGGAGTTTAGGAGGGAGAAGGGGGTGGGGGTGGGGGTAAGGGGTGGGGAGGAGGTGGAGACGGGGTGGGGGAGCGGGAAGGGCGGCGCCGGAAATCGGGGGGCCGCGCGCGACCCTAACCCAGCGCAGCCGGGTCTCCGCCGCGGAGAGTGATCTGCCTTTTGCCCAGTTTCTCTCGGACCCATCGTAGTCGGCAGGCCGGCTGGTCTCGGCGGGGACGGAAGGCCGCTAGCGGGAAAGCCCGCCTAAGTGGACCGATCGCTGGAGAATCCCAATCACCAAACAGCCAGCCTTCAGCCCCTCCCGGCCCGGCCGCAGCGGCGCCGCGAGGGTGGGAGGGATGGGGGGGGGCCGGGGGCGAAGGGCCCCCTCCCACCCGCTCGTCCAGGTGCGGAAAGACCCTGGGAGCCCCATTCGGATCCCTGGTCCCCACGGCGGGTCAGGGTGCCGGAACCCCTTCCTTAGAAATGATGCCTCTGGTTGAAAACACCTCTCCGCTCAGCTTGCAAGTTACACGAACAATGTTGAAACTCTTTTCAACCTCTGCACTCTGCCCGTAGGTTAGAATAACGAGAATAGATTTTAAAGGAAACAAAACAAAACAAAACAAAACAAAACAAAACAAAACAAAAACCCAATACCCAAGCCTAAATTCACGACTCTTTCCTTAAAAATAAAAAATAAAAAAGGGACTCCTCCCCTCCCTCCCGCATAATTTATATCCTTTTAGTCATGGTGACCAGGCAGCTTTGTATTCCGCCTTTCCTACTTGAGGCCTGACCTAAACATTTGCCACGGGTTATGGTCCTTATAAGCACACTTTTCAGGGGCTGAGTACTAGTCTATTCTGTCACTGTGTAATTGTCTTAACCGTTCAATTGTTAGATACCCCCACCTGTCTAGTTTTTAAGCATGAAATCAATGCTGAAAACAAAATGGTCAGATACATACCCCTTTAGGGGAGGATTATTTCTTCAGGGTCCGAGTCAACAAGATAGGTCCGTTTTCATTGCACTTAATATGCGTACTGCCGAACTGCTTTCCAAAGCAGTTTGTACAGGCGTTTATTTTGGGGCCATTATGTGCTGGGTACAGTCCTGCCCTCAGGCCTCAGAGCTTCCTCCCCCATCTACCTCCCCCTCCCCCACCCTCCCCATTGCTGTGACTGGTCCCGAGCAAGACTTCTCAGAGTGGTGGGACCTCTAGGAGAGGGAAGACGGGCAATGGAGCACTAGGGTTGCGGGAGGCTGGGAGTTCCTTGTCCCGCCTGGAGGAAGACAGGTAAGGCTCCACAGTGGAAGTGACCTGGACAGTCGGGACAGACCGAGGAAAGGACGTAGGCACCTTCTCCCGCAGAGGCTGGGCGGCGGAGAACGTTGTGGGTTTGGAGGGGCACTAGTGGCTTAGACTTGGCAGGAGTGTTGAGTGTGGGTGGGAAAGTCCGGGAGGTGAGACGCTTCTGTCCCATCCAAGAGAATTGAAAACTGACCGCCTCACCTTTGGGCATTTGCTCTGTATTAGCTATATGAATAGAGGCACAATTACATAACCATTATTGTTTAAATTTGTGTCTCGTTGAAAGGGAGCTTACATTTCCTTTTTAAATAATATCAGTTGTTCTGCCCTGGGCGGGTAACTCAGTTAGTTAGGGCGTCAGCCCAGAGTGAAGGTTTCGGGTTCCATCCCTGGTCAGGGCACATACAAGAAGCAATCAATGAATGGATAAATAAGTGGAACAAATTGATGTTTCTCCCCCCCCCCCACTTTCTCTTTCTCATTAAAAAAAATCAATTGTTCTGTAAGAAACAGTTCCTTCTCTTACAGTAATATGTATCTTAAATCATAAAAGCAATACATGTTATTTTATTTTTCCATTATAAGATTGTATTCACGCATTATATGTTTAATTAACAATTCACAAATTCACAAATTTGTTAACAAATTAACAAATCTGCAAAATAATCAGACTAGAGCAGGGGTGGGCAAACTTTTTGACTCGAGGGCCACAGTGGGTTCTTAAACTGGACCGGAGGGCCGGAACAAAAGCATGGATGGAGTGTTTGTGTGAACTAATATAAATTCAAAGTAAACATCATTACATAAAAGGGTACGGTCTTTTTTTTTTTTAGTTTTATTCATTTCAAATGGGCCGGATCCGGCCCGCGGGCTGTAGTTTGCCCACGCTGGACTAGAGTGTATACAAGTCCCTCTTCTTAATCCTCCCTTTAGGGGTAGCATGGCTAATAGTTACAATTATGCATATGTGAACTATGTCTTCTGCAACAGCTATTTATACTATCCCTGCTAGTAAATTGCTAGTAAAAACACTTAGTAGCCCTGACCGGTTTGGCTCAGTGGATAGAACATCTGCCTGCGGACTGAAGGGTCCCGGGTTCGATTCCAGTCAAGGGCATGTACCTTGGTTGCAGGCACATCCCCAGTAGGGAGTGTGCAGGAGGCAGCTGATCGATGTTTCTCTCTCATCGATGTGTCTAACGCTCTATCCCTCTCCCTTCCTCTCTGTAAAAAATCAATAAAAGATATTAAAAAACAAAACAACAACAAAAAAACCACTTTGTAGACCATGGCATTCTCCTATGTCAGTGGATATAACTGTATCTCATTTCTAACAGTTGTCTAGGTAACATCAAAAGGATATTACTATTTTTTCCTTTATTTTAAAAATTACATAAATAGTATGTGAATGTATTTTATTTATATCATAAAACAATTCAAACAATGCCAAAATGTAAAGATAAAGCAAGAAACAATTGACATCCCCCCCCTCTTCATGTTTGTCTCCACTCCTATCACACCCCATTCCTCAGAAGTGTGAGGTGAGAAATTTGGTGGCAGCGGTTGTTAGTCTAGACGGCTCTCCAGTCTGTAAACAAATTGTTTTATTTAGTCTCTTCAGTTCGTACATTCCCACTCTCCCCCCCCCACCCAATAAAGAACCATTGGATTGTGTTCACAGTGTATATCTTTGCTGTTATTCTCACAAAATATGCATTGTTTTGTGTGCATGTGTTACTTATTTATGTACATTGGGTTTTATATTTCATTTTGTTTTTTACATTCTTTAAAAAAACTATTTGAAAATTATTTCAAATTTATGGAAAGGTTGCAAGAATTGTATAAACAATTTCAGTATGTACATTTTTAGCTGCATTTGCTTTATCATTCTCTCTATGTATTTATAAGATTGCTATTGAGGCATTTGTGAATTAGTGGCAGACGCCACGCCCCTTTATGCTTAAAAACTTGAGTGTGTATTTTTTAAGAATGAAGAACCTCACCTACGTGACTACAGTGCAATGATCAAAATCAGGAAATTTAACATTGATAGAAAGATATTATAGAATCTTCAGGTCTTATTCAAATATACCAGTTGTCCCAATAATGTTTTTTATGTTATATTTTTCCTGGTCTAGGACCTAATCCAGTGATTTTCAACCCTTTTCATCTCATGGTACACATAAACTAATTACTAACTTTCTGCAGCACACTAAAATATATATTTTTGAAGATCTGACAAAAATAGGTATAATTTTGATTTCTTCACACCAGATGGTCATTGCTGTTGTCATTTTTAAAATTTGACAATCTAAGAGAAAAGAGGTCAGTGCCCCTGACTAAATAGTAAGGTATTGCATGTTTTAAAAATTCTTGTGGCACTCGGTTGGAAATCACTAATCCAATACCATTCATTGCATTTAGTTTTCAAGTTCTTATTAATGTCCTTTAGCTGGAAACAGTTCATCGACTTTTCTTTGCCTTTTGTAAGACAGAGATTTTTGAAGAATATGAGCCAGGTATTTTATTTACATAATAGTTTCTTGTTTTATATTACAGAAAAGTCAGGATATTTTCCCTCACAATCACAATACAGTTATCAAAATCATAAGATTAACATTATTGCCATCAAGTACTTACACCTCATTAAATTTTGTCAATTGTCCTGACAATATCCCTGTAGCAAAAGGGCTCAGTTGAGATTATGTATTGCATTGAGTTGACATTGTCTCTTTAGACTCCTTCAATCTGGAAGAGTTCCAGTGTGGGGGGCTGTTTCTCTCTTCTCCATGTCCCGCATGGAAAAGGAAACAGCCCATTTGCTGAGTGGAGGAGCTGGGGATTAAGAAATTAAAGAAAGACCAAGACGCAGAAATAGATTTTAAGCTGGGGCCAGGTGGGCGCCATCCTCTCTGATGGAGAGGCCGGCAAAAAGCGGCTGAGCCACACAGCAGGTTTATTTTAAAGGCCTAGATTTACATATCTAGTTCCGCCCCTGCCTGATTAACATGTCCAGCCTTATTGGGGAAGCATGTTCCCAGGGCGTGGCTCTGCCTATGCTCTGAGTTCAGCTGACAATAATTATAAGAAAATGCCTAGGTGCCTCCCTGGCGGCCCTCTACATTCCAGCCTTTCCTTGACTTCATGGCCAGTTAGTCTATAGAATGTCCATCAGTCTGAGTCTTTCTGATGCATTCTCATGATTCAATCCAGATTATGCATCTTTGGCAGGAATATCACTGAAGCGATGCTGAATTCTTCTCGTTGTAACCTATTAGGTGGGGCATGATTCTGATTTATCCCATTACTGTGATGTGAACTTGAATCATTTCAGCAAAGTGGCATCTGCTGTTTCTCCCTGTCACATTATTATTTCTCCCTTTGTTATTAATAAATATTTTGGGGAGGGATTTTGAGACTATGAGCATATCCCGAGACTCATCAAATACTCTATGCATTGTTTATATCAATACATGCAATGGATTGTACTCAATGGGTTACTTGATACTGTCATTATTTACTTGGCAAATTGTTCCAACTGTAGTCAGTGGGAGTCCCTTGAAGGTGGCCTTTATGTCATTTTTTTTTTGGTAACAGCTTTATTGAGATATAATTCACATATGATACAATTCACCTACTTAACGTATACAATTCAATGGTTTATAATATATTCACAGAGTTGTGCAGCCACTCCTACAATCAATTTTAGAACATTTTCATCATTCCGAAAAGAAACCTTATTATAATCATTAGATATCTACTTCCAATCCTTCCATGCCCCAGGCCCTAAGCAAATAGTAATCTACTTTCTGTCTCTATAGCTTTGCCTATTCTGGACATTTCGTATAAATTTATCCACATTGTAGTGTATAGTTGTACTTCCCTCCTTTTTAATGTTGGGTAAGATTCCATTGTATGAACATACCACCCTTTGTTTATCCATTCACCACTTGGTGGACATATAGGTTGTTCTCATTCTTTGGCTAACTTGCCTGAACACTGCCAGCTTGCTGTCCAGAATGACTGCTGCAGTCCACACTCCCCAGCAGTGCACACCAGTTTCTGTGTCCACACATCCCCTCTCCCCCAACTTTGTGTTTCCCATTCTCTGGTTTTAGCCAGTAACCGGGCGTCAAGGGCTATTTTGTTGTTTTACTTATCATATCCCTGATTACCAATGACCTTCAGTATCTCCCCAAGTGCTTGCGGGCTTTTCGGTCTGTCCCTCTGAATTTTGCTATATGTTAGTGCTATACTTTCTTAAAACCTGAAATGGATCTGACTGTTCATATCGTTCTCTAACTCTCCCCCTCACTTAAGATGTTCTGAATCACTTTTTCAGGTCAGGCTGCCGGGATGGAGCAAAGCCATTGGACTCCGTGGGACTGGAGTCTGTGGGTGCAGAGTGGCTGATTTGAACTGAGGTCTGAGCAGAGACTCTGTAGGTCCGTGTGTGGAAGCCCCAACCTCATCTCATCTCAGCTCCATGGAGTCTAAGGTGCTTCCCGAACAGTTCTTTTTATCAGGGCTGGTGCTGAGCACTGGCAAATGCCAAGATGACTGACTCATTTAATCTAGGCAGGGATCCTGTGGTGGTGGTGGGGGGGCGGGCAGGGGAGGGGAGATGGTTGGGGGAGGAGAGAGATGTACAGACAGGCAATTACGATGCAATAAGAAAAGTGCTGGTAAGGGTTAACATTTATTAAGCACTTACTTGTGTATTCATGAGCTCACACTGACCCAATAAGGTGGACCCTGCTTCTCTGATTTAATAGACGGGGAAGCCAAGGCTCAGACAGGTCCAATAACTTGCCCAAAGCCACACAGTAAGCAGTGAGACTGAAATTCTTTGTCTCAGGACTAAGCCAGTTTCCTTGACAACCGCTCCCCACCAGCAAGCATGTAACTACTCTGCCCCTGTCCCGGGGTCAGGGACTGGGGGACGAGCGCCGGGAGTGCGCACTAATGCCTGTTTTTCCGCTAATTTCAGCGGGAGGCTGGGCTTCTCTTCTCCTCCAGGCGCCTTCGGACCAGTGCCAGCCTGCCCTCCAGCTCCTGCAGCGGCCTCGTGCTGCCCTCTGCTGGTCGCGATCTTACAGCGACCACCCGGCTGGGCCCAGCGCCGACCTCCGGCTGCATGCGCCCTGTGTTCCCAGTGAAGGTCTTCTATAGGTTCCGGAGGCCTCTCCTCTCCGCCCAGGGTCAAGGTAGGGGCTGGGTGGGGCTGGTGGGATATCTCCAGCCCAGTCCAGGACGGAGAAGGTGGGCGCGTGTCTCATTTCTACCCCTAACCCAGTATCTCCGGGGGAGGTGGGAAGGGGGCGGAATGAGGGCCCTTTAGGGCTGAGAGTTCAGCACCAATGGGAAGCCCTAAACTCGTTCTGAAGTCCGCGCTGAGCACTGAGGATAGAGGCTGATGGGAACACCCACCCTGACGTAGTGAACATTGGCAGCACCCACCCCAGGCTGCCCCGTGGCCTGACGTCACAGCCCGCCTCCTTTTAGTGACTAGCGGTTATTTTGAATGTCTGACAGGAGAGACAGACATAGAAGCAAACGACACAGGATGATGTGCAGAAGAATAACTGTGGTACCAGGAGAGTCAAGGCTCACCAAGAGGTTGCACCTGAGCAAGGCTTGGTAGGACCTATAGGAACCCACTAACTGGACTCTCAGGACTGAACCTGTCAGGGCTTGTATATTTAATAACCACCAGCTGGTGGGAGAAAGGCCACCTCCACTCTACCTGGGTCCTGAAGACCAAGCCTGGGCGCCTGCATCAGCTCCTTGGGGACAAGGCCCCCAGCCGTCTGCCTTCCATGAAGCCATCCCCTGTCTCTCTGACAGGGGGATGAGAGCATGAGTGTGTGTGGGGGGAAGAAGTTGGGGGTTAGTGGAGGGATGAGGACACATTTGTAATACCTTAACCAATAAAGAAATTAAAAAAAAAAGAATTTGGCAACTCTATACATTTACTGAGTCTCATGCACCCTGGCCTAGGGACTGAGGGACAGAGATGAGATTACTAGGATCACCAGCTCTATTCATGAGGGGTCTGGAGTCCCCAGAAGGCCAGGATTCCATTATAACTATCACCCAGTCCTACATTTCAGAGAGGACCAAATTCACACACCTAGTAAAAAACGTTCCTCTAAGCGGCAGACAGTCCCTCTGTGCCCAGCCCGAGGAACTGGTGCCATCTATGGGTCACCGAAGGAGACAGCATGGGTGTTGCTGTGATAACCGCTGGGCACTCAGGAATGGTTCCAAGCTCTTCCTGATGATTATTGAGAAGGGAACCTGATCTTTGTTGAATGACCAGTTGTTTGGAAGTAACACAAGCGGTGGATGGACCCATGTGTGAGCCTGGTTGTGCATTAGGGAGGGGAATGATCAACCTTGCAGATGTGTGCCCTACAGAAGCAGTGCTAAAGGCTTCCTTTCCAGAACAGGACAAAAAGGGTGGTGGGCGTGGGGTGTGTGCTCATGTGGAGAGAGGCAGTGGGTCACAGGGTGGGAACAAGTTTAGGGCTGGATGCAATCAAATGTAGCTTAGGAAGTCAATTCTGTTGGTATCCATTAATAATCTAATAAATACATACATTTTATTTATTAATACCAAACACTGGTTTACCAGGTGTCAAACATTCTCCTAAGCATTTCAAAACACTCATTAATCCTCACAACAATCCTGTGAGGTAGGGATTTTGCCCCATTTTGTGTGTAAGGGAACTGAAGCACAGGGAGGTTAGGTAACTTGCCCAAGGCCACACAGCCTGGGGACACCAAGCCTGCAACTCCGGGAGTCTGGCTCCAGAGCCCGAGTCTGAACCACTGCAGTCCTGCTTCTCTGACACCTGCTAGCAACATCTCCACATCCTTCTAAAGCGCATTACGTGTTTACCTTTTAAAATGGAGCGTGAGGGATAGAAAATAAGCATTTATTGATGGTTTTGATGAAAGTGTGCATCACACTAACAGTGCTGGGTTCAGGGCCTCTGTTGCCAGCTCATTCAGGGCTCTGGAGTCTGCTTTTAGTAGACTTCACCCCACAGGGCATGGACAGCTCTGGAAGCATTGTAAGCAGGGAAGAGACATGGTCTGACTTAGGTTGTAGAAACTGATTTAGTCTCCTCCAAGGGTAACAGTCATGGAGACCTGGCAATGACTGTGAGGCCGGAGCCCCTACAGCTGTGGTCTCCTGGCCTGGCTGTGGGCACTGGTTCAGGGGGACTTGTGAGAGGGGAGGACAGAGGTTGGGAGACCCAGGGAGTTAAAGTCAAATACCTTCTCTCCCACCCTCTGTTCTCTGCCCCCGGTGCCTCCTGAGGTGACTATGTCCTGCCACCTGTCTTGCCCCGCCACTGGCCTTTGCTCCTGCTCCGTCTTCCTTCACTGGATGAAGGGCTGGGTACTAGGTGAGTGGGAATGGGCAACTCTGATGACTCCGGACAAGGAGACACATTCTACCTGTGTTACCTGGCGCTACTGACTGGAGGTGCAGGATGGGCTGTGCCTGATGGGGCAGAACCAGCTGGCCAGGGCTGGAGGGTATCTTACCTCCTCATCCTTTTAGAGAGCACAGAGCCCCAGGCAAATAGTCCTGCTGGTTTCTGCAGCCATCTTGGGATGGGAACTCTGATGGGGGACTCCTCGGAGCGGGCTAGTTCACGGGCCCGGGGAACAGGAAAGGAGAGGGAGTCTGGCCAGGCACTGCCTCTTTCCCCTCCTCCCTTAAAGTGCTCTCAGAGTCGCACAGCAGCTGCGTGTGGTTGGCATTGCAGCTGAGTGACCTGTCTTGTTCTGTGGTCCCACAGTGGAGTCCTCAGGGATGTATTTCCAGCACTGGCAGGACATAGTCTCTCTGCCTAGTGGGGTGGCACCTTGGCCTTGGGATATGGGTTTCTGAATAGTCACTTCCCAGTTTCCACGTTTTCCATCAAGACATGTTTGCCCCAAGGGTTCCGGTATTGTCGTCAGAAGGCAACACTTGTCCCCAGAAGCAGCTGCTGGCGCAGAACAATCCTTATTGTGGCTCTACCTGGGGAGGGCTTCGAACCTGCGCTGCACCAGGGCAGAGGAGCCCAGGGGACACTAGGAAGCCAGACTGGGCCATGGTTGGTGCACACCTGCTGGGTTCCCAGCTCAATCACCATTCAGCACCCAGACCCTGGGGGTCTGTCAAGCTGTACGAACAGTATTTTTTTTTTTTTAAAGAAAACCATAACTTGAGACTAATCCTGAGGAAACAATTAGATAAACTCAGAATTGGGAATATTCTACAAACAACTGGCCTGGACTCTCCAAAATGTCAACGGCATAAAAGATAAAAGGTGTGTGTGTGTGAAGGATGATGGTGGAGGAGGTGAGGCTGATCTAGGTTATAGAACACTCTGGGGTCATGCCAATCCAATGAAATGTACAAACGTTCATTGGATCCTAGAATCAGGAACTGCCCCACCCCAGTATAAATTCAGTTTAGATGTTACATTTCTTGGGTGTGGTAGTGGTATGATTCTGGAGGAGAATGTCCTTGCTTTTAGAAGATAAATGCTGACATATCCAATAATCTACTATGCTGCAATTTACTTTCGTATGGCAAGGAAAATGTTTTGTTCCTTGAAGATATGCTGCTGTTTCCTCCATCCATCTCTCTTGTGGTCAAACATGGGGGGCTTTGTGGTCCTTGAGGTTCTTGCTCCAGGGGAAGTACCCAGGCACGGGGGGGTTTCCTATCAGATCATCTACTTCCGAGAAGGTGACCACCAGCTACGTCCAGGAAACGGGTCCATGCGCACATCAGGGAGTTGTGGCTGTGTGGGGCGGCCAGGGAAGAGGAACAAACAGTTATTCTCCTTGGGACATGAGTGTTGATTTTCCAGAACAAAGTGTGAGAAATGCTACCTGACAATATTAATATCCTCATCCCTCAATTTATTTTTCAGCCTTAAGCACAAAATTAGCTTAAGAACTTAATTTTGTTCTAATGTACCAGCTTTTTTGCTAATCAAATTATCAGTAACTTCTACTTTAATTAAAAACAGCAAGTTTGGCTCTGGCCAGGTGGCTCAGGTGATTGGAGCATCATTCCGCTCACCAAAAGGTTTCAGGTTTTTCAGGTTCAATTCCCGGTCAGGGCAAGTGCAATCCCTGGTCAGGGGTGTGTGAGGATTTAAAAAAACAACAACGTTACAATCATAATAATGTAACTTTCTCCTCTCACAAGAATAGGTGAGATCAAACTGTGTTTCAGCAAAAACTGAGCCTTGTTGAAGTCTAAGGTCCTGCGTTTGGGCACCTATCAAGTACCAAATGTTTTTATTCAGCCAAGACACTGAATCCTTCCTTAAGTTAAAAACAAAAAAACACCCACATTTAAATTTGGCTGCATTCTGTAGATTCTTTTGAACTAAAAAAATTCTGATGTTACAGTACGTAATTCAAAAGTAGTTTAAAGATTAACTTGGCTCAGTCAAGTAAAATTCTTTTTAAAAAAATATTGATTTCGGAGAGGAAGGGAGAGGGAGAGAGAGAGAGAGAGAGAGAAACTTCAATGAAAGAGAGAATCATTGATTGGCTGCCCCCTACAAGCCCCCCCCCCTACCCCCCCACTGGGGATCGAGCCCACAACCTGGACATGTGCCCTTGACTGGAATGGAACTTGGGACCTTTCAGTTCTCAGGCCAACACTATATCCATTGAGCCAAACTGGCCAGGGCTCAAATAAAATTCTTGTGTCTCCCCACTGCCCAAATCTGTCTAATTTTTGGAAGTACAATAAGTTTTCATTGGCTCTCATTAAGTTTTAGAAATGCTAATTCAGTACATTCACTATTGATGACATCAAATTTTACTGAAAAAATCAATAGAGCTAATTGGCTTTTAGAAATTATTTTTAATATGTTTATTATGGGGTAGTAGTGCACTGTTCTTAATAGGGTGGGTGGGCCTCTCCTTCCATCACCATTTATTTCCCCTACACCCTCTTCTGCTTCCCCCACCTCTTCCCCTCTGGAGATTATTCTGTGGTTTGACATTTGAAATGATATTTGAGATGTGTCTTGAGAGCACACGTAAGATTTAGACCAGCAATTTTCACCCGCTGTGCTGCTGCAAGGATTTTTCAAACATACAATACCTGACTATTTATTCATTCAGGGGCACTGACCTCTTTTCAAAGCTGTAGTCATTTTTTTTATTTGACAATCTAAGGCAAAAGAGTTCAGTGGCCCTGACTAAACAGTCAG